GCGAATTTTGCTGTATCAGGGGCTACTGCTTTATCAGCGGAATACCTCATATCCAGGAACATCGCTATGTCTTTCACAAATAGTTCATTAACTGTTCAGCTTCAATGGATGTCTTCTCATTTCAAATCTGTTTGCTCCGATGGTAATTACTCTCTACTTATTTATAACAATAAGCTAAACTAATTAATTTAATATTGATATTTTTCTACAATTATTCTTGTTTGCTAGATTGCGCAAAATATTTGGAAAATTCACTTTTCCTAGTCGGAGAAATTGGAGGAAATGAAGTTAGTCATGGGTTTAGGCAAGGTAGATATGTAGAGGAGCTGCGAAGAATAGTGCCTGATATTGTGAAAAACATCATTCATTCTGTTAGAGTAAGTGTTTGTTATTTCTTCATTATTATTAGAATAGCTTGCTTCAAATTTGATTCCTAATTATGATTATTTATTTATTTTCCAGACAATTATTGGTTTTGGGGCTACTCGAATTTTAGTTCCTGGCAATTTTCCTTCAGGTTGTTTCCCAAGTATCCTAACGTTATACATGAACAAATCCTCAACTGTCTACGATGAGTACCATTGCGCGGAAGAGTGGAACAATTTTATAATATCTTATAACAATCTTCTTCAACAAGCCATTCATAAGCTGAACAGAGAGTATCCAAACATTTCAATTATTTACGGGGATTACTACAATGCCTATTACTGGCTTCTACAAAATGCCGTCGCTCTTGGTGAGTGTATATAACTAATTTTGAGGAATAATGGGGCAATTAGTAGAGCTTCTCAATTCTAATATAATATGCAATTTACTAACATTCTTTTTTTCTTCCATATTTTTAGGATTCGACAAAAAGACGCTACAAATAGTATGTTGTGGAGTAGGAGGAGAATATAATTATACCGAAAATAGGAAATGTGGTGAGCCAGGAGCTGATAAAGCGTGTGCAGACCCGAGTACTTACATAAATTGGGATGGAAATCATTTGACACAAAAGGCATATGGTTGGATAACAAAATGGCTAATTGATGACATTTTACCCCAATTGAACTGTCATGTTTAAATTCAAGCTTTTAATTATTTTTGTGTTTCATAATATTAAGGGGTCGTTTGGTTTGAATATGAGTTATGATGGGATAAGTTGTCCTAGAATTATTTCTTATTGAGTATTTGGTTTGTTGTGTTCAAAATATTATATATTGATAAATTCTAAGAATAAATTATTTGTATACAAAATTACCCGTCACTTTATTTAAACTTTATTAATTTTTCTTTGCGAGCTTTAGTTATTCAGTTTTTAAAATAAAACTTTTTTTTTATTTAACTTAAATATTTTTGTTTATGTATTCCCATGACAAGTACCATGTGTATTTAAAAATAGAACTTTTTTCTTATTTGGCTTAAAAATAGAACTTCCCTCTTAAGTAGTTTAAAGAGAAGAAAATTTATGAGAAATCAAAATAAAATCCTTAAGTAGTTTAAAGAGTAGAAAATTTATGAGAAATCAAAATAAAATAAACATAAGAATTAGTCAAATAAATTCATAAATAAAAATTATATTTATATAGTATAATTTTTTAATAGAAAAATATGTATAATTATCATAAAAATAAGGAGTAGTTAAATATTATTATACATGGTATTAAAAAAATGTAAATATACATAAATGTAAAAAATGATGTATAAAAAGGATTTAAAGGGACATATTTGTCATTTACCTATTTTATCCACCAAACGACCCTAAGGGATCATTCATTATATCCCACGTTCAAGACGCTATAACAAATTAAAGTTGTGTTTTGTTTTGATCTGCTAAATAATTATGCCATTTTTTCAAACACAACTATATATTTTCACTGTTTGCTAGAATTGTGAGCATGGGGACAAGCATAAAAGAACACTTCTTTCATAAACTAATAATTAGCATGTAAATCTTAACTCAGTACTTATGGATATTGTGAGCTCACTCGCTCTAATCAAACTCATATTATGATTCTAAAACACTTAATCAAAATAATGCGCCATAGCATGTGTATTTGGGAGAAAATTTTCATCTAAATTTCATGAGTTAACTTTTAATGATCTTAAAGGGTCATCAGATTTTTTTTTTGTTCTTGTATTTAGTTAATTTGTAGAGTGTCTAATTTGGCGTATTTTTAAGTCTCTGTCTACAACATATACACACATGAAGCCTTCTCAAATATGTTAAGGGCCAAGAAGATAATGCCCAAGTCAATAAATATGTTCAGAGGGTGTTTAGATATTTTAAAAACGATTTAGAAAAAGTTAAAGTTAAAAATAGGTACTTTCCTAGTTTTTATTTTGGCATTAATACATAAATATGTCATTTAACTTGGCTTTAAATTATATTTATGCCCTTCAACTTTGGGTGTGCACAAATAGACACTTGAATTTGGCTTAAGTCATTAGCGACCCCTTAAAGTTGTCCGCATAATTCACTTAGACACCTCAACTAAGACTAGTACCTATTGAACACTTTTACCAATTCAAAAATTGTTCTTTTTAGGAATTTTTTGATAATCAGCAAAATATATGAAGAGTGTGTGATACACTTGCGGTGACGTTGTAAAACGGCTAATTAAAAAAATAACATGTGGCACTGGGACCCGAAAATTATAAAAAGAAAAAGAAAAAGAAAAAAATGAAAATGTCAACCTATTCTACCCAACCCCACCCCTACC